TTGATACAGGTCAAGGGTGCATCAACATCAGCATGGAAGACATGTGAGAAATATTTTTCCAGCTCCAGATGTTTGAGTATTGTGCTTGCTCTGTCGAAATCTCCATTGGTAAAACACACCTTCTTATAAGGAATGGTGGCAAGTAAATTGTTCAAATTTTGATTGACTGAGAGAAATGTAGACACCACAGATTTAATATCCATTTCCTTGGCAAAGTCTGCTGGAGACATTCCGAGATATTCCTTGAATAGCTCTCGACGATTTTTTGTTTTCACTCCCTCATTCCAATCATCTTCGTTTTTACCACTTCGTGATAAAAATAGTGATTTATAATATTCCTCTTCGTAATGATGCATTGCATCACTAGCAAACAGACAGTAGTCGATATCAAATAGGAAAATGGGCTCATCCTTTGATTCTGAATGAATCTCCACTGGCTCTCCACTCAATTTTATATAAGATGTTTTCATGGGGTAGCAAATAACAACAAACTATAAATTAATCTTAATTGTAAAGAAGTTTTTTTGATTCCATTTTAATATGGCTGCAAAGAAAATTTCCCTTCCAATTTGATGAATAGCTTAATATGGCTGTTCCAACTTATCGCTTCTGCTTTCCCCTTTCCATTTTTGTGTTCCTCTTTTTCCCCCCATATGACTCCTGAGGGAATTGACTTATTAATGGATAATTTATTTAACTGGGGATACGATATACAGATTGAATTCGAGTGTGAAAAACCCATGAAAACCAATTACTATTTTTATCCAAACATACTATCATCCCATATGGCAAATTTTGGGTCAAGCATCGAATTTAATGAAAACAAGCTTGAGGCTGAAAAATCATTTCTGGACAGTGATAGATTCAGTAAGAACTCATATGAATTTAACAGCCAAAGCACAACCTATGACACTTCATCTAGTTTTGAGAGGCAATCTAGCGATAAGATCCTTGTTTGTGGGAGTAACCGTATTGGGGATTATAACAAATCTACCATCAGTAATGACCCTAATCTGGTTTATGGATATCACTCACTTTACGACTATCCCCTTCTAAATGATACAGAGCTGTTTGTTAGCTGCAATCGTAGTATTTCCCTGAAAAACTTCACCTGCCCAGCCAAAAATTGCAGTAAAACGTTTACCAGTTCTTATGGACTAAGATATCATATGGATCACGGACATACCGAAGCAAAAACTCTCGAAAGACGACCTTATGTTTGCCAGGTCCCAGGCTGCAATAAGTCTTATAAGAATAACAATGGGTTGAAATATCATATTGGGCATGCTCATGTCGGTTTAGAGTTTGATGAAACAACATTTAAATTGAAATAGTAAATCTAAAAAATTATAGAATAGGTTATTTTTAATATATACTATATGGTTTATATCTTTTTGTGAACAATCATCGCCTTCAGTATTTCGTATATTTTCCTATTAAGCCTCTTATTCAACAATCGATTAGCCTAGGAAGTATAATGGCCAAGAGTAGTGGATAATGTGCTAGGTCTCTGCAAAATCCCTCACTAAGCTCCTTAAATCCAATGCCCACCCTTTACACTCTCCTTATCAGATATCTATCTTTTCCAATAGAACTCCTATATGACAAAAGATCAGATCGCTGAAGGAAATACAGAGAAAGAATTTGACCTAATAGATGACAAACTTCTAGTAAAAGGTATGATTGGTTACAAATTTAATAATACATGCATTAGATCTGAAATCAAACAATTTGGAGCTAATCAGATAATTGATGAGGAATCAAAAGCACTTGTATTTGATAATGATAGTTCTTCTCTATCGAGTATCGAAGTATTGAAGACCATAGAAACAAGGAATGTCCTGGAGCACTCTAATGAGTTTAACTGGATGAATTCTGTTCCTTTTAATGAAAAATCACCTTCAGGAAGTGATAAATTTGCTTTTCTAAAAAAAGATATTGATCAATCCCAAAAGTCTAAAATATTGTTGGACACTTTCTCCAAAAGAAAAACTCTTTTGGAATTAATCGATTCCGATTATCCAACTACACTATCAACTATATTTTATTTTAAAGATTTAATGAGCAAGAAGCAATTCAGAAAATCTTCTCTAGAGAAAGATTCTATCGGCCATCTAAGCTTAGATATATCACAGACCTTCCCAACTGAGCATGAAAATCCAAAACTGATATCTCATGAGCATAAACCAGATTTCAGTAAGGTATTGAAGCATTGCAATAAGATTTCATCAATCGATAAAAAATATTTTATAAGATCCAATACATTTTTGAATAATGGTGATGATTCAAATACCAATCGACAACTACTTAACAGTACTTTAGAAAATTCTCAAGAAGAAGGTTGTTCATTTGCATATTCCACCCCAAAGTATCAATATATCCACCAGTTGTCAGTAAGAACATCCACACCAAACTTACATATTGAAAAAATTATTCAGTTTTATCAAAGTAATATCGCGGTTCAACAAAATACTATGTGTAATGCAGGCGACTTTAGTAAATTGCCGATACTATCCATTCATTCTCGAAACATCTGTGTTCTAACCTGCAAGGAACAAAATGGCTCTAGATTTATTCAAGACCAGATGGAGTTTTGGACAGATGATGAAGTATTGTCATTTTATTACTCAATAAGTAACTTCTTCAGGGAACTGAGCACAAATTTATTTGGAAATTATGTCCTGCAGAAAATGTTAGAACGTCTACCTGCTACTCAAATTGCAGAAGTCAACAAAAGACTTTCTCCACAGTTTTTTGAAATTTCCACAAATATGTTCGGATGTAGGGTGATACAGAAGCTTATTGAGAAATTGTATGAGACAAATAGTCAATATGTTGAAAACAATAATCCCAAAGAAGAGCATATTTGTGGAGATGATAGTGTACATGATATCGATAGTTCTGACTCCACAATGAATTATTTCTATGACTTGGTAACCTTCCATGTTAAAGATTTGATAGAAAATTCATCTGGGAACCACGTATTAAGGAAGATGATTGAGTTTAATTATCAGCGACAATTGATTGTCGAATACATACTAAACAATTCATTGGAAGTATCTACTGATAAGTGTGGATGTAGGATCATCCAATATATTTTGGGATATCTAAATAGCTCTCAAATATCAATTTTATTGGGGGACACATTTATAAATATGGATTTACTAATAAATGATCAATTCGGAAATTATTTCCTACAGGAATTAATAAAGAAGATGTGGACAAAAGATGATGTTGATATTGATGTAGCCCAGCCATGTAACAATAACTCGACTCTAAAATCATCGGACAGTTTCGATTCCTTAGCTTTAAATCACTTATCACCAACAGAATTTTATTCAGATGATATTCTTAACTATCTTATGGAGAAGGTGAATGTGCTGTCATTTGGAAAATACTCTTCAAATGTCATAGAAACCACCATAAAAGCTTGCAGTTCAGGTATTTTTGAAAGATTATTCACCGAAATAATCAAATCTGATCTGAACGGTGGTTCATCGGTTGTGTCTATGGTTTCTCACAAGTATGCTAATTATGTTGTTCAAAACCTATATGATAGATCTGATAGTCATAGAAAATGTTTGATAAAAAATAAGATGAAAAGCAAAGTGTTAGAGGATTCGAAATACACAAAATTTCTAATTTACAAGATGAAAAGATGACGAATTTAACTGAGAAATCTATTTGTAAATAAATAAGAACTATTAGTTACTCTAGAATCAGCAATATTACATTGCAATTTGTTAAAATTTGTGTTTTTATCGCCCCTTTTGGATGGCCAATTCTACTATTTTATATATTCCCAATATTATTGGATATTTGAGGATAGTCTTGCTACTATTTTCAATTTTTACTAGTAATATCCCGTTCATCTGTCTATACTCTATTTCTGTCGGACTGGATTTCTTTGATGGCAAAGCTGCCCGATACTTCCACCAAACTTCCAAATTGGGAGCAATCTTGGACATGGTAACAGACAGGGTATCTACAACTATTATATTGCTTAAAATAATACAGAATAACTATAGAACTAGTGGTATTGAGACGATTAATAGTAAGCAACCCAGCGATATTATGATAAAGAGCGGTCGTTGTGGCAAGAAAATACTACAGAATGATCAGAAGATATCAGTTTGTGACAACAGAGTGGTTCATAGTGAAGGCTCAGCCAAATCTACCTTAGACAAGCCTGCTGGTGTAGGTATTTGTGTGGCAAAAGCATATTATCATTTAAATACTGGTCTCACAATTTATATATTTCTGGATTTACTCTGCAATATTATTTATTTCATTAGTATGATTTATAAAGATACCCACCACAAATCACATCAGAATTTTATCATGAGCTTCTATTATAATCCAACCATTTTGTACATATTCTGTTCTGGTTCAGAGCTATATTTTCTGTTAAGATACTATCTAATTCAAAAGAGATATTCTTCTGATGAAGGCAATGAGACCAAAAATGACTCTATGCAGAAAAAAATATCTGTTGTCATGCTAGAATATTTAATAATGATTTTAGAAACTATTGTAATTTCCAAAGCAATTATCCATGTGGTTCATGGATATTTTGGAATAATAAATCTTAGTGAGGAATAAAATAATAATCTAATAACAATATTGTTAAAATTGGATTTTTATGTATTTGGTATTGATATGAACCTGTTTTATGTAATTTGTTACAGTTCATTCACAAGAGATTTTTGGAATTAAGTGATATTAAACATATAGTTCTAACTTTCTTTACTCCATACAAACCATCGGTATTTAATTTGTATTGTTTTAAAACTTGATATCTTATCTTTTATACAAAACTTATGAGTTTTTGAAAAAAAGTTTTAATTTCTAGGGTAGAGATTTGAAGTACTAAACAACCTTTATATGGTTATTGAATGATAGTTTGTAAAAACATTAACTAAACAACCTTTATATGATTATTGAGGATAGTTTGTAAAAAATATTACCTTTCAAAATAGTTTCATGATTGCTCAGTTATTTTATTCCTTTTGAACAATTGTCACTTGTCCCTCATCTGCTTCCTTTTTTGCATACTTTTCAAGCATTTCTCTAACTTTCTCTTCATATTCCTCTTTATGATCCCTAAACATGTTGGATGCATCAATATTCGCTGGACTTTTAATATTTGGGTCTGCAAGAAGTGATATTATGGAAATACACACGGTTCTTACCGTTTGTACTGCAGTCCACGAATAATTGGCTGCGTATGAATCGTATGGATTGTCATTTGCCGTATGCAAAATGGAAATACACACTTTACCATTAGAATAGACATTCGGATGGAACATCTTGGTAACAAATGTAAAGGTAGGTGGCAAATTGGGATATCTACTTGGAAATGTCATCTTGGCATGAAGAACATGCCCTTCATAAATGCTTCCCTGGGCCCCAGTTACATACACATCCCACTTACTCCAATCCTCTACCCCTCTAGAATCCTTATGAACCACTGCATCCATCTTAAAGTCTTTTTCCTCCTTAACTTGTTGCAACTCCTTTAAAAGTCTCTTCCTGGCAATTGGAGATAAAAAACACTGTTCATTTTCCGACATAAATGGGTTAGGAAATCGTTAAATATTTAATAGTAAATAAATAAAGCAAGCCATAGCAGATTATATAATACTCACATTATTAGCATTCTCATACATCATCTCTGAGTATAATACTAATGCACTCCATTTGTACTACATATGGCTGATCAAATACATTGATAGCAATCCTATTCCAATTTGACATGGAACATTTCTTGATACTTTACAGCTATAAAGAATAGCCAAATATTCCCACGGGATATCTAGAATAATGAGAGATATTATTAGCAACTCTATTAGGGGACAATGAAGATCCAGCCAAATATTAAGAACACTGCATATTATCAGCAACAACTTGTTCTTAGACATAAAGTAGAATAGAATTCGCAGGGAGAAATCTTTCTTAAATAGTTCTGGGGAAAAGATTCTTCCAGGTGGACTACATGAAAAATACTCCATTACAAATTGCTTATATTCTGAGCATCTTAAAATATCATCATCTATCAAATATTTCATAGATTCCAACACTGAAATGTCTATAGAAGTATTCATGTCACCATTTGTCTGTTCCAAGTTTCCATTCATATCCTTCCAATTGTTAGTTCCCTTTCCATTCACTTCATGCGATGGAGGATTCGTTGTAAACGAAAGCATCAATACAATCAAGCAAATCAAATCAGTCAACAGATTTGGAATAAAGCATATTGACACAAACAGTCCTACCATGTGAATAAGAGTAATTGTCTTGTGTGTATTTACAGTAAGAAGAATTCTAGTAGAAAATGCCTGGGAAAGAATAAAACCAGCATTGGCCAATAATAAATGATCAATCAAAATATTATTCTGATTGATTATTCTATTTCCTTGTTGAACGATATATGCTCTTTGCCTAGAAACCACTTCCAATATTATATATGTGATCATTAAAGTAGAAGAGATATACAGTTTACTCAGTGAATCTTCCAGGAGGTATGGAATTATTGAACAAATTAATGCCGTAAATCCACATGAAAGAGACAAATGTATATTCGCAGAGTATAAAGACAAACAAAATATAGGAATTGAAAACTGAATAATTTGCAAAGTTACTTTTGGAGGAAGCTTAGTCATTTAAGGGTAACTTTAAAATCAACAATACAACATATATATAAAATGACTGTATATATTTATTTTCTCATGCATCATTCTGTTCAATCAGAGTACAATATGTCTTCTATCCGCTTTCTTACTCCACTTGTAGAGGTAGTATTCTTAACTACCTTTTCTATGAGTAGCAACTTTTCATAATAGAAATTTCTTTCTACTTCAAATATTTTGCTTATCTTCTTTATATGTACAATATCCTTTTCAATCAACTCTTTTGCCTTAATAAGTTCATCCATAGTATCTTGGCAGCCACAGCGAACCTCAGTTTTGTAAGATTGGGAATATATTTCATCGGATAATAAAGAACTATTCCGTATTCCTGTTGGACTGCTGGTAGCCTTGAAACTGTCCTCCATGCTAACACTGTGTTCATTACTCCCATTATCTATTCCTGTACCGACTATTGTATGTGTCTCATTACAAGGATTACATACTTGGTATGGCTCTATACAATTATCTAGTACCGTAGATACTTCCTCATCAATGGATAGTCTCTCCAATGTATTTTCAATGTCAGAGTAGATTTGTGTAGAAATTGAAGGATATCTGGAACTACTTTCACCACACATATCCTTTTCCTCCAGACCGTTCTTTATTTCCTCAATAAATCCATTTACATTAGCTTGTATCGATGAATTTTCCTTGGTTTTAAAACTTTCATTAACAGAACAATCTTCTGCTTCTTTAGTTTCATTGGTGAAAAAATCTTCAATCTCTTGTTCCAAAGAATAATTCTTCAGTATCACATTCTCCATTACTGGTTTGTCCAGTACTACAGCATCTGATGTGTCTTGTTTAATTGTTTCTGTAAAATACTTATAAAACCACTGAATTACCTCCAAATTATCTTGCATTTTTAATTTACACATTTTATCGGCGGGAATATGAACTACCATGTTTGCTCTCTTAAAATATTCCTTGACCAAATTTATATTGTAGATATACTCCATCTCTGATCGAGGATTGTCTTTAACATTTCCAACATCCACAAATTCAGAATGCAATATACTCATCAACTTGCAAAGAATAACTCCCTTTCCAATATCTTCGATCTTAGATATAGGAATATTCATAGAATTAAGCCAATTGATGATAACTATTCTAGAAACCATATTGGAGAAGGGTAAATAATCAAATTGGTTTGAAAACACATACTACAATAGAGGTAGTTAAAGGGAAGAGAGCTAAATCTTCAACCAACTGCAAAATCCCAATGCATATGATGATGGTATACCTCCTAGATGCTTAATATTCGACCATACATAAAACTTCTTGTTCATATAAAATAATATGTTTTTAAACCATATCGATAATATTTGTTGTAAAAGCTCCATTTCCAACATAAATATTACCGTTAGTTCCATACATTGACACACAAACTATTATATGGATTTTATATTATCCATATCCATCTACACAGACTCATCTTAAAGCATATACAATCATCCGTTAACTTTTTCCCTCTTTCTTTTCAAACATTTTTTTTTATAATCCACCCCTTCTGTATGAGTTCCATTTCTAAGTTTCTTGAGACTTGTAGCCTTCAAAATAGAATTCACTTTATGGTTTTTGAGAAGTTACTTGAGTCTGTAGAGGATTTTAAAGAGGAGGCAGTGCGATTTATAGAGAAAGGAGTAAATCGAGACAATTTGTCTGAAATGCTAAGTAAGATTGCCCTACGGAAGAGGAGTAATGATGTAGAAATCAACGATAGTATTAAGGATTCCAGATCAATTAATAGTGATATGGTTGTAACACCTACCAATAATAATTTTGCAAACATAAATAAACATGTGAATATTGAAAAAGCTCCTTCAACTATTACTGATCCTCCTACTAATTTTTGTTTTGGGAGATTAACTAGTAATAATACCTTTTCAAAAAAAACTTTGAATGTATCTGACTTACCTCGTTTCGATGGAGATTGGGCTAATAACCTGTCTCACTACGGTTCTAATAAGAGCCCATCTCATTATAACTCTGGATTGGTTATGTCCCTTGATAATCTTAAAGACTCTGATTTTGATAATTTATTAACTAATTTTGGTAAAGATGCCATTGAGTTCAAGACTAGCAGAAATATTGGTACTCAAGTAGATTCATCCTTTGTAAATGAGGGAAGTCTTGGTTTAGGACAGAGCAATTTAATAAAAGATTCATTGGTTGATTTTGAACTGTTTTGTGATGAGTCACACAAAAAATTCTGTAAAACCAAAAAGGAGCTGGGAGAGATGATAGTTCATGAGGATATTGTGGAAGATATAATACAGAAGAATGGACTTGGTAATATAGATCATCAGAGTAATTGTTGTACCGTTACTACTCATGGAGACATTGTAAACCTGGATTCAACCATTAATGTGTCAGGTAACGAAATCACTTTTGATTTGAAAAATCAACAGTATGAAGGAGATCTTTTTAAAGGAATAGAAAAAATGAATTCTGACAGAGATAACAGTATGGTGTTTGCTGAATCTACCAATCCTACCATCTCTGACAATTCTAAATCACATGGTAGCAATGTATTTTGTTTTGGAAATATTGAAAATCAAACTGATAGCTTGGATCATATTTTTCAGATCCCAGGGCTGGATGGAATAACTGATGATTATTTGATTGAAAATAAATTCAATATGATTGAAAGCAATGTTATCCCCCATAAAAATACCAATTTTGACCAACATCAAGTGAATTCTAGCGAATTAAATGGTTTTAACAAAAGCGAAGGGAATATATCTACCGATGATAATAGAAACAACAGTATGTTGAATGAACATACAATGATATCTGGCAGTAGTAATAGGCTAGACAAGGCAGTAAACCCCAATACTACTATACCTATTGATGAGGTTCTATCTACAGTTTTTTACGATAATATATATGTTCCGAAAACTATGGGTTCAAACCCTACAGCTGCAATTCCTGACTACTTGTATCCCCCTACCCAGTGCCTTAGTTGTGGATTAAGATACATAGATACGGATATCTACACTATTCATTTGGATGATCATAAGAGACGTGATGGTGCAAGAATAGGAAATAATCATGGTGGATTGATAGGCTCCAGCAATCAAACTTCCAACAGTTTGAACAATGGGAATATAGTTCTAAGAAGAGAATTCTTCACTTCAAAAAAGATACAATCTGGCGTGAAACTGGATTTAAAAGCTCCCGTTAAGAAGGAGAATATTATTTGGAACAAGACTAGCCCAGATTGCAATCTATGCAACAAAATAATTAAGAAAGAATGGGATGACGAGATAGAAGAGTGGATTTTAAAGGATGGGACGAAAATAGGAGAAAATGAATATGCCCATAGGAAATGTGTCTTATAATAAATAGAATTGATCTTTCATTGCCAGCATATGAAAATGTGTATAGAAGCCTGTTGATTTATTTGTAGTGCAGATAAATTGAGAGTGGTTTAGTTATTTTATCTTCTAATCAAATGATTATGATTGTTCATCATGTACGAAGAAGCTTTGGAATATTTACAAAACAATATTTCCAGCTTTTTTTAGAGATATCCTTTTGTAAGTAAGTTTTCTTTATTGAGGTGCCTCATCTAATAAAACAACATTAGTTAACTGTACCAGTAGATAAATTATAGCAAATGGTTTTGAAGTATAACCTAAGTGAATATCTGTTGCAGTGGATTAGAATATTTTTATGCATAAATAAAATTTTTCAAGATAACATTAATAATTTTTAGCCCTTTCATATGGCTTTTTATTCAGAATCCAAAAACAATCAAGTTCCGTTGATTCCATTGATTAGATCCATGTCGATGGGATCCGATTTGATTGCAAAGAATGAACTATTTGTAAAAAGAAAACAACCCAGTAAGAGTGAAGAGTTTTTAAATCCCAAACAGTTTGATGTTAGTATGGTGGGTAGAGATGTTTCCAGCTCCCAACACATATATAAATGCCATTTTTGTAAATCACCTACGTGTTTTGTATGCCTGGATTGTTCTACATTTTACTGCAATAATTCGACAGATGGAATTGCTCATATAATCTATCACATGGTCAAGCAGAAGCATACACGTCTTAGAATTATTGGTGATAAGACTGATTATTTGAGACATTGCGCAGATAATCTTTGTAATAATGAAAATACAGAGGTGAGTGATTATCCAGTGCATAAGATATGGATGTCTGATGATTATGGACGTGATAAAGATCTCCACGGTATACCCAGCTATTTTCCCAAGAACTTTGTATTGCAGAATATTCCCATTTCTGTGGAGTGTAAAAGATGTAAAGAGAATAATTTGTTTAGAATTGGGTTTGTTTTAGAAGATCTCTATGAGTTTGATGATGGCTTTAAGATCTACGATACAGATACAAGCAGTAGTAAGCAAGATGATGCTTGTTTTAATAATTGTAGTCGGTTGCCCAGTAAGAATATTTGTTTTTGGTGCAAATCTTGTAAGGAAGTTCCGCTCCTTATACAATCCAAGATGATATCACTGTTTCCATCAGTGGATGTTTTCAATTATACGGCAGATATCGATGGTGCTCATGAGCATACCACTTTGCCAACAATTCGTTCTAAATTCACTCTGAAAACTTATTTCGAAACATTTATTCCATTAATTGAAGCAGAAGCGAATAGGGAGAGGGAAATTAAAGAAGCAATGAAACAAGAGAATGTAACACTGAGATGCTATGACGGCTATGTTTATTTTTATAGCAATATAAACAGTGGGGTGTTTATCAATAACAATGTGATTCTTTCATCGGTTCACATAGGAGATGAGATTAGATTTACTAGAGGAAAGCATTCGTTTACAGGATATGTTTGTAATGAACCATTTTCGGAAGAATTGAAGGTAGAAATTGACAACCTTGAAAAGTTGGAAGATTGTCCTAAAACTGGGTACACAGTAGAATATATTTGGAGAGGTGTTTGTTATGAAAGGATGAAGTATGCGGTTGAAAAGATGACCTGGTATGAGAAAAGATCCGAAATCTCAAAAGTTGTTGATTCTAGTGGGGAATGCATGAATAATGGAAAGAAGAAATCTACGGGAATTATGCATACCGTTTTAACTGGGGATATCATACAAAGGAAAATAGCCAAAAACCAAAGCATACCCAGCAATATCGATGGCAATACAATTTTAACACCTCCTGGATTTCCCAAGTTAAACACTTCCCAGTTGGTTGCCATTGAGGCAGCCTTATCATCTACGAACCTCACCCTTGTTCAGGGGCCTCCTGGAACAGGTAAGACATTGGTTTCGTCAGCAATTGTTTATAACTTTGTTAAAGCTCAGAAAAGGAAGGTGTTTATAATTGCTCCTAGCAATACTGCAGTAGATCAACTGGCAATAAAAATCAACAATACGGGGCTAAAGGTGTTGAGAGTGGTTTCTAAAAGGAAAGAGGAAGAGGCTAGTGAGGTGGATTACTTGAGCATGCATGTTTTAGTAAATGAGCTGGTGAGTGAGGAGGTCAAGAATAAATATGGCAATAAGCATGGGAATGTGCCTGATAGCTATACTGCAGTTGCTCAGGAGGAATTGATCAAATCAGCAGATGTCATCTGCTGTACTTGTGTTACTGCGGGACAAAAACTATTCAACAAACACAATTTTCCAATTGTGCTCATTGACGAGGCTGTGCAATGCACAGAACCACTTACTCTGATTCCTTGTATGTATAATTGTGAAAAACTCATTCTGGTAGGAGATCATAAGCAATTAGGGCCAACTGTACTGAATAAAGAGGCAATAAAATCAGGGTTCAAGCAAAGTCTCTTCGAAAGAATGCTCAGTTTGAATGTAATGGCCTATCTCCTATCGATTCAGTATAGAATGAATAGTAGCCTGTGTGAGTTTCCAAATGAATATTTTTATAATGGATATTTGAGAACGGCAAGTAAAGATGTTGAGAATATGGACAAGGACAATTCTATGACTTATGATAATTCCAATGTGATGTCTTTTAATTCATCGTCTATTCCAGATAAATTGACCAATTTAAATTCTATCAATTTCTTTTATGCTACTTACTGTAAAGAAGAGATAAGTCAAAATGGCACAAGTTATATTAATAAAGGTGAAGGTGTGATAGTAGAAAATATAATAAAGTATTTATTCAGAAATGGTGTCATGGAACAGCAAATTGGCGTTATTACACCCTATGAGGGGCAGAGGAGTTATATTCTGAACAAGATGGTGGAGACTGGCAATCTGGAGATATCCAATGTCGATGGGTTTCAGGGCAGAGAGAAGGATTATATTATTGTATCCTTGGTCAGAAGTAATTCCTTCCAAGGGATTGGTTTTGTAGCTGACAAGAGAAGAATGAATGTAACTCTCACAAGAGCCAAGTATGGGTTGATTGTGATAGGGAATCCCTTTACTCTCTACAAGAATAGGTTTTGGGGTGATTTCTTGGAATTCTATTCTAAAAAGGGTCAAATTTATGAGGGAAATATCAGTAATTTGAGAGGTGTTTCCTTAAAGGAAATAATTAACGAGGAGACGGAGTGAGATTATGTCTGATCGATCAGCAAGTCTTATTGAACTATCAATACTCTAAAAAGATGACCAATCAAAGAATATTTCGAATATGTGCCAAGTGTGGTATTCTATAATTGTTCCAGGTCAATTTAGGGATTTATTTGGCAGAGCATGAATAAACTAGTGTCATTCCTTGGATATATTAATTTATTTCAAGGTTTTATGTGATATTTAGCATATCCCTCGCTTTTGGTGAGCAAATGATTATTTGCAAAGATTTCATTACAGATACATTTCTCACATCCAACAAAGCATAATTATTAAATATGATGAATCCTTAACAAATGTGTATCTATGGCAAACTGTTTTTCAAGAATAAACATTGCAATATATCCTCCAGTTTTATTCAAATCGACTTAGTTTGAAGTGTTATATTCTAAAAGAAGTATCCTGCTAACAAAGAATACACTCATGTCAAAATACTTCATGAATTTATTTCTTCTATCCTCTTCCTTATGTAAAAAATCTTACTTGCTTTATACTTTTCAATCAAGTCGGTACCCGTTAATTTCTGAATGTAATTTCTATGGTTAAGTAAGAAATCGATGACCCTCCAGTTTCTATCACTTGACAGCAAATTATTTAAAATTGTACTTCGACACTTGTCAGGTAATAAATCTAACAGGTAATACTTGCCATCAGCAGGATAGCTTATAGTGGCTGGAATTTCTTGATTACCGATGGTATGTTTCATGCTTTGATCCATACTATTAGACAGATTGTTATTAGCAGGTATGGCATCATTTGAATTTGTCTGTTCACCAAATATAGCTCGGCATACCTCCATAGGATGTGTTAATGATGAATCAATAAGAAATTGATCAAATCTCTCTCTATATTTAATTTGTTTGGTTTTCAAATCAGAATACATAGCTGATACTGATTTTTTAATATCTTGCAACATACTATCCTTTGGGGTGGCATTATCAATAGTAATGTCATCATCACTGCCAGTGTCGTCAATGTCATGATCATATTTATTTTCTAGTACTTCCTGTTTTACAAATATCTCATAAATATATTCGATAGAATCTTCAATAATTTGATCATATCTAGATGGATTAAAATAGCCATCCAAAATAGAATTGAAGCCGTCATCAAATGAAGGCATTGTTTTGCTGTAATTAAAAGCTGTAGGATTGTTATTATATGTACCTTCATATATTCCACCCATCTCTATTTCACTATTTGTTGTTCCACTGCTTCTTTGGTTAAATTCTCCCTTTTCAAATTTATGAGTAAATGATACCGGAATAAATGTGTTGTTTATAGAAAATTCTTTAGAAAAGACATGTGCCAACTTGGAAATCTCTNTGTTGTTTATAGAAAATTCTTTAGAAAAGACATGTGCCAACTTGGAAATCTCTTTGACCTTATTATCATGTGTTGCATTGTTGTATATCAAAAGAATATAGTCCTTTAAATTCTGGATAATATTGTGAATAACCACTATTTTAACTCTGTCAATTCTTACTGACAAGCATTTATAAAGAATAAATTGTAATGAGATACTACGATAATTAGTACGATCATTATCACCATTATAATGCATCATCCTTATTAACTTCTTACTAATATTTACATATCCCAGTGGATTAGCTGTCATGCTATTGAATACACCTTTAGTAAATTCCAAAAAGTGTTTTATAGAATAAGGATTGCTATTTAAGCAAGTCAGTGGATCTGTGGAATATTTGTAATAAAAGTAAGGTAAAGCTGTGTTGTTTAAGGATGTGGTGATGGTGGTATCTCCATTGGGATAATAGCTTATATATTCTACTAATTCTGCCACTCGTATAAATAACTCCTTATTAAATCTCAACTTTAGAAATATTCCGGAGTTCTCCATAAAGAATTTTGGATTGGATGTAGAAAGTAGTAAGGGTAAGGCTGAATCTAAGAAATGATTGGTAATTGTGCTTGAGGTAGTATTATTCCTACCATTACCTGAATTGCTAATAATATCAAACGTATCTTTTATTAGGATATCCTTTTTATCGAACTCTACAGAACAGCTTTCTCCAGTGGATTTAATGTGTGGTTTAACATCCCTTCTATTGGACTTAACATCGATGGCCTGTAATTGCTCCTTTATCTTCGTCATATCAAACGGACTTAAGGCTATTATGGAATTATCTCCATTCCTTTGTGTAATAGTTTCGTTGCTTGTAGCATCCGTTTCAACTTTACTGTTATCTTCATTCATCATCCCTATTTTCTCATTATCTTTATGAATCTGTTGGAGTAGTTGCCTGGCCTTTAATATATTCAATTCTATCATTAAATCATCATGGTCCGAAAATGCTTCAAATAGAACTGAAAAAAAATCTCGCTGCGTTTTAGAAAAAATAAAAGAAATCAAATCGACTACAGATTTGGAATTGATATAAACCAGAGGAATGCATAGAGAAGGAATTAAGTCAAGGAAAACACCGTTAGCGATAGTATTACTACTTTCTTTATCCTCATGACTGGTGTTGTCACTACTATCCTGTACATTACACCATTTGTATATTTTGCTTATCTCCGTATCTACTTCTCCTATGCTTTCTCCAACTGCTTCTAAAACCAATGGCTCAAGAAAATTTAAGCATTGACAGCCTATTGAAAAGTCGATTTTAGAATGACTTACTAAAGAACTAAGAAGAGACTTAATATTTTCCATATTAGTTACACCAGTGGTGTGCTCATCCACCTCTTCTCCATCTTTCTTTTCTTCAATAACAGATTCTTTAATATTTCTATCGTCAGCGTCACCCATCTTTATATATTCCATTATATTCCTGTATAAATACAGAATATCCACTTCAGAATTTATATCAAGCGAGTTGAGTGGACGGATCATCAAAAATGGGTGAAATTTAAAAAATAAAGAAAATATAATGTTTGAAATTACACATTAAAATTTTATTTGAAGCAATTGTACATATATAGATGTGGTGCTGTCTTATCAAGAGTATTTTATTATGCATAATGACAAAGAGAGTATCGGCTGAGAAAATTTTTATCTGGTATGAATGTCGACCTCTACATTATTAGTCAACATACATCATCATTATTGGCTAAATGTTTAGAATTTCCTTATCAAGATTCATTCAATTAGTTTTGTTGGAGTTTGTGGACTATCGATAAAGATATTGGATATGAACTTCTTAATATAGAGGCATATCTTTACTCTATCTTCTCCGTAATATAAAGTATACTAAACAGATTAATGGCCCAATTGAAACTAGCATGAAGAAATACCACAAAGAATCGGAATTCCCACCAGGAACTCTGACATTCATTCCCCAAATTCCAGAAATTGCCTGAATTGGTAGAAAACAAAACGAAATTTTAGATAGTCTATCCATTGCTGAGTTCATTGTGGTAGCTAGTTTGGACTGTTCAATTTGAAGCATAGAAATAAGCATGTCCTGGGATCTTTCAAAAATTTTCTTTGACTCTCTCAACTGTCTATTTACATCCTTAAATTCAGAACGGGCATCTAAAAATAAGTTAGTTAAGAAAGAATTTAATGGAAGAATCAGTACTGATTGATTAGAATGGCATTGAACTGTAAATTGGGAATCAGAAAATGTATGGTCCGATGGATCACTCATACTGCTGCCAGTTGTAGCTATACTCTCATTTTTGGCTACTCTTCCATTGGATATACTGTGCTGCTTATGACTCTTAGATGCATTGCACTTTGTTCTGTGCTGTGGATTAATCAGCTGGTCAATGATCTGTAGCTTTGGAGTAATA